AGTCTAGATTGGATGCAGTTTTCTTATCAATTGTGGGGGCATGCATTTTCTTGAAAAATTTGTCAAATAAAATATGGTTACTAAGGGATTCACCATCATACAGCTTTGAGTAAAATCTATGGAAACGTGAATTGATTTCTGAATGATCTTTTTCTTTAGTACACAATTCATCATTTATCTCACCAACGGTCTCATTCACAGTCCTCTCATGGAGCTGATGGGCAAGAATCTTCCCTGTCTTTTCACCACATTCATAAGTTTACTATGGACTTTTTTCATTAGGTTTGATATGTCCTGTTGATAACAGGTTGAACTCTATGAGAAGGGTTTGTCGTTTGAAGAAATCATTGGATGGGAGTGGTAGCAAGTGTAGAATCTAATTTGAGGATTCAAGGTTCTTTGTCATTTGTTTGAGGATATCATCTGTTAGCTGTTCCAAGATTTGTATTGTGCAGTTTTCTTTGTTGTGTGCTACAGTGAGGAAAATAAGTATTTGAACAGCCTGCGACTTTGCAAGTTCTCCCATTTAGAAATCATGGAGGGGTCTGAAATTTTTATCTTAGGTGCATGTCCACTGTGAGAGACATAATCTAAAAAAACAAACAAAAAATCCAGAAATCACAATGTATGATTTTTTTAAATAATTTATTTGTGTGTTAATGCTGCAAGTAAGTATTTGAACACCTGTCAATCAGCAACAGTTCTGGCCCTCAAAGACCTGTTAGTCCGCCTCTAAAAACTCCACCTCCACTCCACTTATTTATTATTCTAAATTAGAAGCACCTGTTTAAGGTCGTTAGCTGCATAAAGACACCTGTCCACCCCACACAATCAGCAAGACTCCAACTACTAACATGGTTAAGACCAAAGAGCTGTCCAAAGACACCAGAGACAAAATTGTAGACCTCCATAAGGCTGGAAAGAGCTACGGGGCAATTGCCAAGCAGCTTGGTGAAAAATTATCAACTGTTGGAGCAATTATTAGAAAATGGAAGAAGCTAAACATGACTGTTAATCTCCCTCGGACTGGGGCTCCATGCAAGATCTCACCTCGTGGCGTATCAATGATCCTAAGAAAGGTGAGGAATCAGCCCAGAACTACACGGGAGGAGCTGGTCAATGACCTGAAGAGAGCTGGCACCACTGTTTCCAAGGTTACTGTGGGTAATACACTAAGACGTCATAGTTTAAAATCATGCATGGCACGGAAGGTTCCTCTGCTTAAATCAGCACACGTCCAGGCCCGTCTTAAGTTTGACCATGACCATTTGGATGATCCAGAGGAGTCATGGGAGAAAGTTCTGTGGTCAGATGAGACCAAAATAGAACTTTTTGGTCTTAATTCCACTCGCCGTGTTTGAAGGACTAAGAATGATGAGTACCATCCCAAAAACACCATCCCTACTGTGAAGCATGGGGGTGGAAGCATCATGCTTTGCGGGGTGTTTTTCTGCACATGGGACAGGACGACTGCACTGTATTAAGGAGGGGATGACTGGGACCATGTATTGTGAGATTTTCGGGAACAAGCTCCTTCCCTCAGTTAGAACATTGAAGATGGGTCGTGGCTGGGTCTTCCAACATGACAATGACCCGAAGCACACAGCCAGGAGAACCAAGGAGTTGCTCCGTAAGAAGCATATCAAGGTTCTGGAGTGGCCTAGCCAGTCTCCGGACCTAAACCCTATAGAAAATCTTTGGAGGGAGCTCAAACTCCATGTTTCTCAGCGACAGCCCAGAAACCTGGCTGATCTAGAGAAGATCTGTGTGGAGGAATGGACCAAAATCTCTGCTGCAGTGTGAGCACACCTGGTGGAAAACTACAGGAAACATTTGATCTCCGTAACTGCAAACAAACCCTACTGTACCAAATATTAACAATGATTGTCACAGGTGTTCAAATACTTATTTACAGCAGTAACACACAGATAAAAAAAAAATTTTTAAATCATAAATTGTGATTTCCAGATTTTTTTTAGATTATGTCTCTCACTGTGGACATGCACCTAAGATGAAAATTTCATACCCTCCATGATTTCTACGTGAGAGAACTTGCAAAGTTGCAGGGTGTTCAAATACTTATTTTCCTCACTGTACATATCATTTGTCCTCTCAGGTACGCCTTCATCGATTCCCATACTGTTAAAGGAGACATTTCCAGGGTCTGGTTATGTTCAAGAAAAAAAAAATTGATGTATTAAGGGTCCCTGAGTGATAATTGCCATGGGAAATTGGTACACAGAGTCATCAACAGGGGGGCATGGTTGGAGCTGATTATAATAATAATAATAATAATGTCATCACAATGTCAGCACTGTATGTTTCCATACAATGGCGAAATTAGTCTCTGCATTTAACCCATCCACCACCAGGTGGTGCAGTGGGCAGCTATTGAAAGCGCCCGGGGGACATTTTTGGGGATTATAGCTCGATATTCACACTCATTAATGAAAAAAGCCTTTCATCCAAAAATAAATATTCGAGTGCATGTTCTATGTGAGAGTATGTTCCATGGATCGGTGAGAAGAGTAGATCCTAGCTGTAGAATATTGAAAGCGGCACCAATCAGTTCTCCCATTCGTATCCAGAAGGAGCTGCATGCAGTTGAGGCCGCGTGGGTTGTGGACACAGTTCTAGATGAGCTTAGGTCCAAAGTAGGTGTTGACATAAGGTGCCCAATAAAGAACCATCAACCCACCCAGGGGCGGCTGTAGCTGAGTGGTTAGAGTAGTCCTCCAATGCAAGAGTTGGGGGTTCGAATCCACCAGCAGTCACATGCCGAAGTGTCCCTGGGCAAGACGCTGAACTCCTCATTGCCTCTGATGTGCGTCCCATCGGTGTATGAATGTGCTAAAGCACTGATTAGTCTCTTTAGGATTATTTCTTCAATTAGCTTTGTAGAGATCTAGTAGAGTGATGTATGAATGGGTAAATGAGGACAGAGATTGTGCTCCAACGCACTTTGAGTGTCTTGATAAGATAGAAAGGTGCTATACAAGTACAGTCCATTTACCATTTACCTAGTAGAGCATGTCATTTGTGCCGCCTGCTCACAAGTGCCATAATTTCGATTAAATCCCAAAACTGCGTTGACACATGGCTGCTTTACCAATGTAATCCCATGAGGTACAACTGTTTGGAGAAAAAAAATAGGAATGTTCTGTCTCAGTATTAAATGTCTAATGTTTATATTTATGCCAACCATTGACACAGCAGGGGAAGTGTTTTTAAGGATTTCTTTTATTTTTAAAAAGTGTATACTAGAAGTAATGTTGACACAAGGCCAAAATCTGAGATTACTTTCTTGACCCAACATTCACTGATAATAGAGCTACTTTGAGATTTACTCTAGATTGTATCTGGTCTTTTTAAATGAAACGCCATGCTTGCAGGGGAAGTCAGGAGGCAGACAGCTCTTAAGAGGCTTAAAGGAAAATCACTTGAAAACACCTTTAGCACACCCACTCAGACACAGCAGGGAAAGAAGATCAAGCTAACACTTCCACGCAAGGAAACTAAAACGTGCATTGTGTCTGCGGGGAGGGGAAACCCGACAGTGACAAAAGAAATCCAAACCTTCACAGCCAATAATTTATTTTGTGGTAGAGCAGGAGCTTGACATAAAAAAAAGTGATCAAGTCTGGTTGGATCCAGATTGCAGACTTTTGATCTTTGGCTCATATTAAACTGAACATGAGCTCATGATAATGATCCAATTAAAGCCTACCGACGGTAGAAAGGGGTCATGCATGGATGGAACATGAGACGGTTTATCCTTGGGGATAAATATGTAAAAGCCCCCCTCCCTCCCTAATCTTACAAAGCAAAAAGATGTCACGCTACCATGATTTGGTGAATCTGCGATGCCTTTTTATTTCATATAATGCTACTCCTTCAGTCACATAAGAGCTTTGATTCCCTTTACTGTATTTTGTTATCACCGAAGTCAAAAGAGCGATAATGTTTAAACGCCTGTTCATGCATTTGTCTGATGTGGAAGCAAAATATCTATAAAAAAACAAACCAACAGGAAATGTATTGCAATTTTAACTTTTGGAGTAAGACACATTTAAGATGGCCACCACAACTAAGTCGTCTTGGAAAACATTAAAACTCGATTTTATACTTCCATCTATTCCGTTTGTAGAAGTTTGAATTCATTTTGAGCTGTGAGGGTCTTTGTGGTGCATGTGTGGTAATTGCGCTTCTTATGACGTTTTTGTGCGTCTGTCTTTTCTTCTCTTAAACTTTACAACCTGAAGATTTGCATACCATTGTATGTTGGTTGGTTTGCATTGTTTAAAAATATTCTTTTAGCATGTCTTTCAATGCAACTTTGGTCTATTTGTGGTACTTTTTACATCTGAATGGATTTGATATGAATTTGCAACTAATTTTGACCATTCCAGATCTCATTTTTAGTTGTTTTATCAATTATACACACCAAAAAAAAAAGTTAATTTTACTGAACTCTGAAGATGAGAATCATAAAATTGATTTTCTCAGGTTAGAAATACAGGTGCCGATTCTTCAGTGATCGTTTAATAAAAGAACTGTTTGACTCTGACCTTCACTAATAACCACAGCCCCCATCCCTGTAGCTGCAGCTCAAAGGCCTGTCATGTGTCTTGGGGGGGGGGGGGGGGGGGTGTCAACACACCTTGTTTTATGGTCCATTTAAATAACTGAGTGAACAGTGTGTTGTTTTTGTATAAACAGTCCTAGGATGACTAGACTGTGCACTGCTGTTGTAAGTGGCATTTTTCTTGAGCTGCCCATCAATCACCCACAGGTGAAACACGCCCCTCATTATCACGCAGCAAACATTTACTCAACCCTCACTTTATAAAGAACAGCATACATATCAGAGTTTCACAGCTAAAACGTGTCGTTTATAGTCTGGACTTGTGTCATAAAGACGAAGCTGCACGTTTCTCGGTTCTTGCCGCTCAGACTGGCTGAAAACCTGTTAATTGAGCGCACATTGAACGCATCTTTACCTTGTTGAGCCGCGTGCCTTCATCTCCGTCTCTTTGTCTTCGCTCCGCTCAAAGGGACAAAAAACCCTCCGTCCTGTCCCCCCTTTGTCTTCTCCCTCTCTCCGTTGACTCGGTGTGAAACTGGCTGCAACACATCAGGGTTTTATTTCTCCGTGAACCGCCCCTTCACCCCCTCCGACCGTCAGTCAGTCTCCTGTGTCTTCCCTCGCTCTCCCATGCTACCTTCAGGAACTCCTCGTAAAATCCGATTGCTCCAAGAAAGAAAAGTGCTTTTTAAATAGAGTACTGTAAATGTCTTAGACGGGACTGTTGTTTTATTTTTGAGATCTCGCGAGATGTGTGAACGCTCAGGATCAATCACGGGCAGGGGTCTTCTTCTGCAACCTCTGGCTCTGGGGCCACATGTGGCTCTTTGAGCCCTCTGCACTGGCTCCTTCAGGCTTTGACCAAAACTAAAATAAAACTGAATTTTATTTAAATTATTGCCAACAATGAAAATGCCTAGTTTTACCAGATTTCCTGTCATTTTCAAACATGTGAAGAATAGTACAAATACCAGGCGTAAAACATGTGGACTACATGCTAGTAAGCTTGTTAGCCACTTTAAGTCCACTTCCAGTCTCTTTCTCTCAAAAACCACCAGAATGTTTTGGAATATCTTTAAGACAAGTTGCTGAGAAGGAATGACACTAAAAATAAAACACAACAAACAAAGTCAAAGTAAACAAAAGTATTTATTTTTCTTTGAAAATATAACTGGATATCCAACAAACTGGCCTGTTTTTATACTGTCTTTAACTTTATGCTTTATGATACTTAATTCTTCAACAATAAACAGATCTCCCATCGGTCTGCAGAGTTCAGTGTTTTAATTATTATAAAATTGTTAAAATTTATATATTTTTTCTTTCTTTATCTGATGTTTTCTTTTGTATTAAAATGTAAAAATATCAATAAATGTTAATAATAGACACTTCATTTTATAAAATCACCCCCACTGGACGGAAAACCCATCTCCAACAAACTTGTAGTGGTCCATGAGCCACCAGTTGACACACAGTTGTAGCAGGTTTTGCAGCTCCGGACATCATAATTAATAAGCAAAATGGCAAAATGGCTCCTTTTATCGCAAAGGTTGCAGACCCCTGATCATGGGGATGACTATCAGCTAGAGCTATTTTTGTGTGGATAATGTCACCATTGTTAATAGGTTCATTCTAAATCTAATGAATTGTCAGGCAGTGATCTTTATTTATTTATTTATTGTTATTGTTGTTGAGGAAAACTTCACAACAATTCCTCCAATGCTTCCAGAAACTTTTTTTGCCCTAACAGCAATGATTCCAAGCAAAGCTTTCCTGCAATGTGTAGCACTTGAAAAATGTGTTTGGCATGACTCTCAGCTACTACTGCACCAAGTTTTAGCTAAATATCTGTAAAATTACAGCCTTTACAGCCTTTTAGTGTTGGCTAATGTCACTTACTGTAGCAGTGGTGGCCATTTTAAACTGGGGAAACTCCAAAAAATAATTAGTTTCATTAAGATCAGTCCAGTGGTTTATGAGATATTTTGCAGATAAAGAGAGATACAGTATGTATTCATTTTAAACATTTTGTGTGT